GCTTATTCCACTGAGCCATCTCCCCGGCCCCTGGTTTTACTTCTTATACTTTGTTTTTATACTTTTCTGCTGGATGGTTAAGGCCAAGATAAAGCAAGACCTATGCAACGAGAGTCGTAGCTTGAGTCGTAGTTTTGGGTCTGATAAGGTCAGTAAAATTCCCTCAGGATAAGACAAGTTATTTTAAAAAAAGTGTGTGTGTGTGTGTGTGTGTGTGTGTGTGTGTGTGTGTATGGTACTGAGGATTGAACCAGAGCCTGTACACTGAACGGCATCAGTATTTTTAAATTTTATTTTATATTTTGAGATAATGTCTCTCTAAGTTGCCCAGGATGGACTCAAATTTGTGAGTTTGACAGGCAGCAGTAATATTTACCTTTTGGGAAGTGCACAATTTACTAATTTTGTAATATTCACAAAGCCGGCCAACTATGACCACCATCTAATCTCAGAACAAGCTGTTTCCAAACCTTGTAGTTTCTAAATGAAGAGGCCCTTGCGCTTCGCAGTTATAAAACATAAGCGTGCCAGGCTTGGTGGGGAATACCTGTAATCCCAGCACTTGGGAGGCTGAGGCAGGAGGACTGCTGAAAGTTTGAGGCCAGGTTAGATTATGTAGTGATCAGCCTGAAGTATGTAGACAGACCCTGTCTCAAAAACATAAACATGTAACACTTCCCTATTGTGTTTAAAAGCAAATTAATTGACAAAAGGGAAAATAGAAATATACTAGCGAGATTTTTAGCAAAGCTTTCACATAATTGGTGGCTGGAATCTAGAAGTGAGCATGATGATTCAGTCAGCTCAGCTAATGACAGCCCTTCTTCCATTCAGTGTCCAGATTTTTGTGACAGCTACCAAAATCCAGAATTGAAATAAATGGCCCTGGGAGCGAGGACTTCAAATGGATGTTTTATGCTGTTAAATCAAGATTTTAGTAAATAAGTAAGCATCAGCAATCATGCTAATAGCGGAGTGGGAGCAAGATACTATTTTATACCTTTGTAAATGCACAAATACATTTCTAATATGATAAATTTACAGAAAAACATGGTTGGTTTCACCTTTTTTGCTAATTCTTCTAAGGGTTCTCACTGGGGCAGGCTAACTAGGCACAAAGGCGGGGGAGACAGGATGGGACTCAGAAGGTCCTCACCTGGGAGAACTGGTGGGCTGCACACGCCCCTTCGGGTTACCCACCTCTGCCCACCAACCTTAGAATCAAGACTTGATGGCTGTCTCTCTTGGAAAATGCCAGAGCACTGTGTGCCAAGCCAGGCCCAGGCCCCTCCTCCAAGGCTGGCGGTCCCTGGGGTCTCCACACTTCTCTGCCCCTTCCCCTCCTTCCCTCTCTGGCTGTGCTTCCTCCCCCTTGCTAGCTGGCCACTCAGCATCTGCCGGCGGCCCCTGCCTCAGCGCCTTTGTGCGGCTGCCCTGCCCTGTCTGGGCCTCCTGCTCAGAGTCCTGGTGGCTCCTCCCTGCCCCTCCCACCCCCATCTGATTATCGAGCCCCGCACTTACACTCGGCCCCCACGCACTCATGGTTTATGTTTCTAAAATTTATTTCTGCCATCACTTTGTGTCACAGCTTCTTTTACTGCTTTGTCTCTCCCACCAGCCCCGGGAGTCTTCTCTGGAGGGGCCCCACTTTTCCCGGCCTGGAATGGAGCTGGACTAGCACTGCGGTGCTGAGAGGCTTGGGGTACGTGTGTGATGGACTCTGATGGGTGCCGGGGTGTGGGGGTGGCTCAGAGAGGGACAGCGAGGGAGGTGTCGCAGCCTCACCCCGATCCTGTGAGGTGAGCTGCAGATGGGTTGGAGGAGTGGGGGGCTAGGCTGTGACACAGCAGTGACTGAAGTCACACAGGGCCCATCTCCAGCACGGGGTCGGAAGGGGCGCAGCAAGGGGGTCCCTGGGCAGTGTCCACTGGGTAGTGTGGGGAAGGGGAGTACTAGGTAGCGCCTGGGCCTCAGCCTGCGAGGCCCCTGGGTCCCGTCTGTTCTGGGTCGCTTGAGGGAACTGGAGGTTCCTTCATGCCCTGACTTGGCTGTCCTGGGTGGAAAACCCCGTAGGGACCCTGCAGGGGGCGGCCAAGGTGGGGGCGGCGACTTGAGGCTTCAGTGGGGGGATCAGAAAGAACCAGAGACACAGGAGCCAGTAGGGGTTGACCCGCCAGGAGGGCGGGGGTGGGGGGGTGCTGGGATGCAGCCAGCGCCAACCGAATCAGGGCGCAGCTCTGGCCCCCAGCAGAAACAGCGCAGTGCCCGCCAGCAGCAGCAGGGAAGGCAGCACGGAGTCAGGGGCAGCGGCTGACGCGGTTTTCGTGGTTGTCCTCGATGTCATTGTCTTCGTGGTGGTCAGGGCGGCACCCTGGGTGGGCTGCGGCAGGTCACAGTTTGTGTAGGGCTCCAGACAGCCCGCGTAGGCCATGAGGTGCGCGATGTAGTTCTGCTCCTGCACGCCGTGCATGAGGTGCGCCTGTGGGCCGCGCGCGAACACCGCCACGTCCTCGCCGCCGTGCGTCTCGGAGTGCACTGGCACAGCCGCCTGCTGCAGGTAGTTGGGGTCACCTGGGGGGACACAACGGTTAGCACAGATGGGCTCCCTGCCCTGAGCTCCCCTTTGCCCTGAACTCCAGGGTTGCCCAGCCCCCACTCACCACTCTCCAACGTGGTGACATTGGGACGGGGGCCCTTGTCCCCGACATAGCCGGGGCCATTGCCATATAGGATGGAAGTGTAGGTCTTGCCGTCCTCGGCCAGGAGTGGGGCCAGCCCTACAGGGAGAGAAAGACCCCCCCCACATTACCCCACGGACAACTGCTTGGGCCTTGGTACACTCCCCACCCCCCACGTTTCATTTGGTCTTGGGCTTAATTCTTCCAAGATCCCCATGAAGCAGTACGATCCGTGTGCTCATTGGACAGATGAGGAAACTGGGACTCAGTGAGACCTTTGCCGTCAGATATAACAGCAGCACCCATCTCAGTCTCTGGGCCTACCAAAGATGGAAGTCCCACGCAGGGTGTAACCCCCAAACGTGAAGACATGGGAGTGGTCAGCAGTAACGATGGTCAGGGTGTCCTGCTCGCTGGTAAGCTGCTCAGCCTTCTCAATGGAATTGTCAAACATGACTGCTTCATGCAGTGCGCGATATGCTGAGCCCTCATGGTGACCACGGTCGATGCGGCCCCCTGTGGGAAGCCGGGGGAGAGATGTGATACTCAATCCACTTCTGGATGTCCCTCCAATCCTCTGCTGTGCCAGATGCTCCTGCTCACCCTCCACGAAGAGGTAGAAGCCGAGGGGGTTCCGGCTCAGCACTCGCAGGGCAGCCTCTGTCATGTCTGCTAGGGAGGGGTCCAGCTCTGGGTCTCGGTAGATCTCAAATTTCGTGTCAACAGGCTCAAAGAGGCCTGAGGGACAAGGGACCCAGTGGTGACCACCTGGTGGGGAGGGGCCCGGGGAAGGCATTCAAGTGTGGTCCCGTGGGACCAGGGCAGGCAGGGGCTCACCCATGAGGTATGTCACCGATGGATCTAGTGACGCCTGGGTGAGGTCTCTATGGTTCCACACATACCGAGACCCCTGTGGGGACATCCAGGCTTCAGTCCAGAGGTTGAGAGCCTCAGCCCAGCTGCAGACAGCCTGGCCCCCACCCCCACATGCCCGCCCCGTGCACCCTATCACCTGGTGCTTTGCCAGCCACTCCTGCACCAGGTTCTTCCCATCCAGCCTGACTCCGGTGGAGTTGGCATCATCTGGGTACTCCGGGTCTGGGGTTCCCAAGGGAAACATGTATTTTCGACCTCCGCCCAGGATCACCTGTGGTCAGAGGGGTTGAACAGCTGGGCTCAGAGTGTCAGGGGCCACCTCACAGTCCCAGCTCCCATGCCCCAGCCCTCCCACCCTTGGGAGCCCCCAGACACCTGGTCAGGCCACAGGGCTCAGGTTGTGGGGTCCCTGGGATCCGCTCCCCCTTTCTCCTTGCCCTCCCTCGCCCTTCTCCTGCCGCACATTGATGTCCATGTTGGAGACAAGCTGCGTGGCAATGTCCTTGCAGCCCTCCTGGAGCGCCGAGACGGGCATGTCGGCATCCGAGTACCAGTTGCGGTTCACGGTGTGGACATATGTGCCAGCCGGTGAGGCGTGCTGGACCCGGGTGGTGGTCACTATGCCAACAGACTTCCCTGAAGGGGCAGAGGTCAGGACAGGCCACTGAGGGCTTCTGGCCTGCCTCTGCTCCCTAGCCCTGCCTCAGGCCCACCTGCTTTCTTGGCCTGGTACATCACAGAGAGGACCTCATTGCCCCAGACTGTGGAGCATTCATTGAAGCGGGCAGCTGCGCTCACACCGATGGTCTTGTAGTTGGTCTTGACCCCACACAAGTAGGCAGTGGCTGTGCTTGCACTGTCTGGCACCTGTCTGTCCACACTGTACGTCTGGGGACAGAGACGCCATCAGCTGTGCTCAGGCAGAACCCAGTTGGTACACATGCCTGGGCCTGCCCTGGTGCCTACTGCCCAGATACCTACTGCCCCAGTCCCTCCTCAGGCCCTGGCTCTCCCGGGTCAAAGCTCCCCCCCAACTCCGTGCCCACTCTGACCCCGCTCACCTTGGACAGCGCCATGTATGGTAAGTGGTCCATGGCCAGAGGTGTCTCTGGCCCCAGCTGGCCCTGCATCTGGCCCTTCAGGATCCTGGTGGCGGTCACTGTGGGCACCCCCATCCCTGAGGAGCAGGATGTGTCAGGCTGGGCCTAGACTGACCCGGGTCACTGGGGCTCCACACTCACTCACCATCTCCCAGGAAGATAATGAGGTTCTTGGCTGAAGTCTGAATGGGCTGCAGCCTCTTAGCAGCTGCCAGGGCTTCAGCCGCCTTTTGGTTCCAGAAGGCTGGGTTCTCTTCCTCCACTGGTCAGGAAAGAGGTCAGGTCAGCCCTGGAGGGATGGCCTCTTGGGTGGCTGCTTTGGGGGGTCTCATTACCTGGGACGATGCTGAGGGTCAGCTGGAGTCTGAGGCCCAGCAGTAGCAGTGGTAGCAGTGGCAGCGGCAGCAGTGCCCTGGCTCCCTGCATGTTGGGGACAATCCTGGTGCTGTGGCTGAGACAGCAGGTGTGATGGTGGTGCAAGCAGGGGAGCAGCTCCAGCCTGGGCAGTCACAACTTAAATAGGGGAAGACTTTGTTCCCTCCTCTTGTCTGGGTGGCCACCCTGACCCCGCCCCTGTTCGGTGAGCCAAAGCCTTACACCGCGAGGGGATGGGAGGGGCAGGCAGCCTGTTGAAGGGTCCTGAGGCCCCTGGGATGGGCCCGGCTGCACCATGCAGGGCAAGAGCTCGGACCCCTACACTATCTGAGGCCTCCAATTCTTCTGCTCACATTGTCTTGGGGAACCCCTCAGCCATTTTACTTCTTTTCACTATTCCTGAAACAGCTGGGGCAGCCTCTGGTCTGGGTGTTGGAGGGTGGTGGAGCTTGAGCCACATAGCCAGGGCCACTGGCTGGGTATGGCTTTCAGATGCCACGAGCCCCCTACATGAGGGAACAGTGCTGCCCTGCCACCCATGTGGCCCATCCTCAGGCTTGACTTGAGCTGGCCTTGCTGGCACAGGGCTGTGAGTGACTGCTGTGAGAGGGGCAGGGCAGCTGGGGACCCTATCAACTGGGGGCCTGGCTGTGCCCCCAGTCACCACAGGCCATGCTGAGCCAGGCTTGCCCGTGGTTGCAGCTACTGTCGAAGCCAGCAGACACAAGTGGCCCAAAGGCTGTGCTCACTGGCCGAGCTCTGCTCCTTTGGACAGGGAGGTGGATGCCAGAGAGCATCCGTGTCCTCTGCAGGCCTGTTGCACTCACAGGGGTGCCAGCAGCCCCGCTTCTGAGTGTGCGTCCAAAGGAGGGCAAGGCAGGGAGTCGGGTGAACACAGCAGTGCACACCTGAGATCCCCCCTGTCCTGGAGGCAGGGCAGGATTCAGTTTGGAGAGACCCTGGGATGTACCTCATTGCTCCCTGAGTTTGATCCCCAGGATTGAAGAAAAAACAAAAAAGAAAGGGATGGGGACAGATGTGTACCCCAGGATAGAGCAGCAGGATTCACAGAGGCTGGGAGGGGGAGCAACCCCATACCCACTTAGGACATGGTTTCTAAGTGTGTTCCCAGGGATCTCCTGCCGGACACTTGGTCCTCAGCAGGGTGACAATGTTGGGGACTTTCCACAGTGGAGATGACTGTGCATGGTGTCGAGGTCCTTTGAGGCTGTATTTTCAGAAGGGACAATGGAGAGAGCTTGTCCTGCTTTCTGTCTAGCCTTCTGCGATATACTTGTGACCAGATGTCCTCTGAACACTGCATGGTGCCACCCCTACAAGGTGCCAAGAGCGTGACAGTTCTAGAAGAAATATGGAGTGCCAGGCCCTGGGGAGGGGAGACACAGAGTTTTGTTCAGTGGGTGTGGGGTCACAGCTCCGCAAGATGATAAAAGTCCTAAAGGTCTGTTCTCAGCACGCAGGCCGAAAAATAGACCTGGTGGCTTTCCCTACCTGCAGCAGCCCCTCTGCTCCCCCTGTCATCATGCTGTGTTTGGAAACTATTTTCTTTTCTTTCTTTTTTT